TTCACCTTTGTGCTACACATAAGAGATACATAAGAGATATGCCTGAACTACTTAATTTTTAACTGAATGTGCAGACAAAGGCATACCAGAAAAAATTACAAATAAAACTGAATCACTGGATAATGCTCTTACCTAAAAGGAAGAGAAAATTGAACTAAGGGCCAAAAATCAGGAAATAAGAAGGGTATTTTATTGCAGTAAGAGCGCAGTAAGAGGTGTAGTTCACAGGGAAGAAATGAAAGCTATAAATGGCCAGCACAACATGGGCACTCATAAAGATTACAGGAGGTACAAGAAGAAATGGATAGAAAAACATTGGGATTGGGAGATTTTCATTTACTTCTCTAAATATGTGACAGATTAAGAATTCAAAAAGTTAAGTGTTGGTAGAAATTCAATGACACAAAGCAATAACTATAACTATTATTTTACTTACAGTAATTTTGCCTATTTGTAAAATAAACTGAAGACAAAGATAATGAATTTTATTGACAGGAAAGGGACGTGAAGAAGAGAAGGAGTAATTTTTCCTAATAAGTACAAGTATGCTCCGGGAAAGGTTTCACAAATCCACTGCAGAACAGTGACATCCTTGCCAAATAAGCTGTCTGCCTTATTCTTACTATATGTTTAATATGTCTTCTATTTACCGATCTGTAGAGGTATTTTACATGATAGTGATCCTTCTATTTAAAGATACACAGAGAGCTATTTTACATAATAGAGCTCTTTCAGGTTTTTATTAACTGTTTGTAAAACTGCATTTATTGATGATGCTCAACAATAAAAGATATTTCACGTTTAACCAAACCAAACCAAACAGGACATGCCTGGGGAATAGCAAGGCACAGCTGCTCTCCAAGGAAGGAGAGGCTTGGAATTACTTTTTTCTCTGGAGCTAGAAATATTTGATCTTTAGAATACTAATGCATTTGTTTTTCCTTCAGACAATTATGTAGTTTCAATTGGCAGTTTGATGAGTACCACTAAGAGTCATCACACTGAGCAAAGTTTATGATCATTTTCAGTACTCTTCATTATGGAACTTAATCCTACACAAGATAACCAGTCAAGTATCCTGCTGAACGGTTTTCTCAAGTCCATCTTTACATTATGGTTATGAAATCAATTTGCTATTGACATGAATCTTGGACTGTGTTGTGTTCAATTTCATGATGTTAATCTGTCCTTTAAAAAGCTCCCGACCAGCTCTACCCAATGCTTTTCTCTCAGGTAGTTAACATGGCCACCCCATCTATGAGAATCCAAAGAGAGCATTTTCTCTGGGGTGTTAGGAACTGTTAGTTGGTAGCAACCCCTGCCATACAAGATTTGGCATACCTCTCTGTTCATTTTTTTTAACTGTTCTTATAGATTTTTTTAATCGTGTTATATACACGCCTATTTTTCCTCAAATTACATCAGTTCATTGCTAAAAATCCATTTTTTTTTACAAATTCCACTTTGGGGTTATGACTCAAGTCAGTTTTCAATGAAGATTAATTCAGAACCATGGTAGACACTCATCCCAAAATGGCAATGGCAATTCGAGGTCTTTTTGTGTGTGTGAAGTAAAATAGCTTAATGTAGAGAAATGTGTGTGGTGTGGTGTGGTGGTGGTGGTGGTGGTGTGTGTGTGTGCGTGAGTGTGAGAGAGAAAGAGAGAGAGAGATAGATAGATAGAGAGAGAGAGAGAGAGAGAGAGAGAGAGAGAGAGAGCATAGACTTCTCCAGAGATGGGGAAAAGGCAATTCGAAGTCTTGCAGCAGGCTGGGGAGTTTCTGTTAAACACTTTCTCAACACAATAGAAAATGGGAAAGGTGTCTGCAATTGTGAAAAGTGGATAAACTGGACAAAAGGTAGGCACCACATCTGTTGATGCCTGATCAGAAACTACGACGCTTAAGATATTTATGCATCCCTTACAATTTGAAAAAACAAATCCTCTAACAAATCCCTCTATTTTTGTATAAGATGATAAGGAATTGACAAAAATTAAACTGATCTTGATATGGACAATGACTAAATTTTTTTTTTTCTTTTTGGGTCACACCTGGTGATGCACAGAGGTTACTCCTGGCTCTGCACTCAGGAATTACTCCTGGCAGTGCTCAGGGGACCAAATGGGTTGCTGGGAATCAAACCCAGGTCGGCCGTGTGCAAAGCAAAAGCCCAACCCGCTGTGCCATCGCTCCAGCCCCCAATGACTGAATATTGATGACGTTCCCAAGCATGTGAAAACCACCACTGGGATACAAAAACAATGGTTTAGTAGAGGCTGGAGAGATAGCACAGGGGTTATGTTATGGGTGACCTGGTTTGAGCCTTGAGCACTGCTGGGTGGGGCCCAGCCCCACCCCCCCATCCCCACGTAGGCCCACCCCAATGTTCTAGTAACTGTAGGTTGATCTGGATAAGGGGTGTTTTTATTTATTTATTTATTTGCTTTTTTGGGTCACACCTGGTGATGCACAGGGGTTACTCCTGGTCCTGTACTCAGGAATTACTCCTGGTGGTGCTCGGGAACCATATGGGATGTTGGAAATCAAACCTGGGTTAGCTGTGTGCAAGGCAACTGCCCTACCTGCTGTGCTATCATTCCAACCCCAGTTTTCCTGGGCTTTTGCTGTTTGTTTGATTTTGGGCCACACCCAGCACTGTTCAGGGCTTAGTCCTGGTTCTGAGCTAAGGATTCATGCCTAACAGTGTTTGAGGGACTGTATGGAATGCCGGGGATCAAACCCAGGTCAGCCATGTGCCAGGCCAGCACCCTTCTCTCTATGGTATCGCTTCGGCCAGATAAGGGGTATTTTTTTGTTAATGTTTTTTTGGGTCACACCCAGTGATGCTCAGGGGTCACTCCTGGCTCTGCACCAGAACTACTCCTGGTGGTGCTTGGGGGACCATATAGGATGCTGAAGATCTAACCTGGGTCTGCTGCGTGCAAGGCAAGCATCTCCTTACTCTCTGTACTATCGCTCCAGCCCTAAAAGGGATATTTATTTATTTATTTATTTTATTTATTGAATCACTGTGGGAAAGGTTACAAAGCTTTCAGGTTTAGGTCTCAGTCATGCAAATATCAAACACATTTCCCTTTACCAATACTTATTTTTTACCATGAAGAATCCCAATAAAACCCCACCCCCCACCCCTCCCAGTCCCTGTGAGGCAAATGAATTCTAGTTAACACTCTATCTGCTTTGATTAGATTCATTGTTCCAATAAAAGATTCACCACTATTATTTAGAGTTTACCCCCCCCCCCCCAAATCAGACATGCTGAAAAAGCATTGTGAAGTGATTTGCTTTCTACAGCTGGGTTCAAGAATTAAATGTTGGTTTTGGATTTCTGCTATTTTACCTATTGACCCTGGAAGTATTTCTACTGAAAGTCAGATAGTTAAGAAATTGGTTTCTGTGTTCTGGAGTCGTGGCCGTGCTGGAGAGCCGCTCGTGGGGGGCAACTGGTGGCCTCGGTAGGGCGTGAAGGGCGGACCGAAACGCCCCCCTTCCCATGAGGTTTTAGTCGCCCCCACACCCCTGGCTCATACCTGCTGTCCACAAGGCTCCCATGCGGCCGCCATCTTTCTTTCCAGAGAGGAGAGGGCGAATGGGGCAACACCCTTTCCCCTCCGGCAGACTTGATGGCCTGGATTAACGCATAGTCCGTTCACTTTTCTGCTCCAAGCTGCCGGGTTCTGCATTAAGTCCTTGTGCTTCTGGGGCCGTAGCTGTGCTGGTGAGCCGCTCGCGGGGGGGCAACTGGTGACCTCGGTAGGGCGTGAAGGACAGAACAGAACGCCCCCCGACCCATGAGGTTTTAGTCGCCCCCACACCCCCGGCTCATACCTGCTGTCCACAAGGCTCCCATGTGGCCGCCATCTTTCTTTCCAGAGGGAGGAGGGCGGAAGGGAGCAACACCCTTTCCCCTCCGGGCAGACATGATGGCCTGGATTAACGTATAGTCCTTTCACTTTTCTGCTCCAAGCTGCTGGGTTCTGCATTAAGTCCTTGTGCTTCTGGGGCTGTGGCCGTGCTGGAGAGCCGCTCGTGGGGGGCAACTGGTGACCTTGGTAGGGCGTGAAGGACGGACCGGAACGCCCCCCTTCCCATGAGGTCTAAAAGGGGTATTTAATCACTACTTTTAAACCCAGGTAAAATGAACAGAAATATCTAATTTCATGCTGAAAATTTTAAAATAAGTATATAAAGCAAACATTTAATGATGATAAATCATAAAGAAATTTATTTTAAAACAAATTTAAAAATTTTTTATGAACCCCATCACCATCACCACTACCACATTCAGTTCTGTGACCCAATACAGGGTTGCAGTCCACAATTTCAGAAGCTATGGATTACATCAAGGAGACAATTCTCTTTAAGCTACAACTTTCATAACAGAAAGTAACTGTTGTTCAAATTTTTAAAAATTGTAATATACCAAGTATGTCACATGACATTGCCTTTCTGAAAAGGGGTCAACATAATAGTTAGGATTTTAAGAAGAAAGGAAGTTCACTCAGTTAACAATATGAGTCAGTGACCTAACAATATGAACCTTCAAAATAATTACTTCTGTACAAGTTACAAGGATAAATAAATGGATTAAAATAGCTTATGTACTTGGCTTTTTTTTTTCACAGTGCTGAGTATCAAACTCAGGGGCAGGCTTAAATACTTTTATGATTTTACATTAAAAAAATCAAATAAGAGTCTTCTTTGATATTGTTTACTACACTTACATAAGCAAAGAAAGAGTTGCAAGAAAAGACAACTTACATACTGGTAATGATTCTATGACTTCTAAATTCTTCCACAAAAGGGCATTCAGATTTTAGTTTAGGTAAATTAAAAAAAAAGTCAGCCCTAATGTTGAAGCTATAATACAATTATTTAAATATTGCCAATATATTATAAAGCACAACGAAAAACATCTTATTTAAATGAAACATGGATAATAGTAGTTCACTGGGGAATATAGCCAACCAATTTTTTTTCTCTCCATACTTATTCAATGATGATATTCTGTTGGCTAATTTCTAAACAAATGCATATTTTAAAAAACTAATGAAAGCCATGTTTTGCCCAGGAATACTACTGTACACAAACCATACAGATTGTTTTATAGCAGATACTATAGTTTGCCAAGCTTCTAATGGGAAAATGCTAAGTTGTGAGCTTGATACCGTCCAGCTAGTTGTTTCTCGTCTCCCTGCAGAAAGTGGCGGCACACGATGTTGAGATCCTTTGTCACCATCATTTCTCTTCTCATGGTGACTTCACTTAAGTTCACCTCACTCCACTTCACTTCGTCTTAAGCACATTCATATCCTTAAGATGCAAGGCCTAGCAAAAAGCCTCCCACAAATCCACTGGTGATCACGGTGTTCTGTTTGATAAATTCTGTTGCTTTTTCAATTCTACTGTTGATTTTAGGTGCTGCTTTATTTGCTCGTTTTTTAACCTGTTGCTTTGCTTTTACATCTTTTTCAACTCTTTTCCAGTCAACCTGAACATAGCCACTATAATTGGCAATCTGAAGGAGAAGAAAGCCACCAGCTACAGCAGTTGCTGCAAGTTTTCCAACTTTCTGGAACAAAAATCCCGTACACCAGCCAGTCACTCCACCTATTACAATCTGGGAGGCGACAGAGTGTTTTTCTACGGCAGGCCTGGAACTGCGACCCAACATTCGATTCCACCAGTGATGTCTTCTTGCATGCTCAGTTGAATCCAATGCTTCATAACATTCATCGTCACTTTCATGTTCTTGGGGAGGGGGGTTCCGGGTCGCCATGATACCACTGGAGGCCAGCTCTCATGCTGAAATTTTATATGGAAAAGTTACCTGTAAGCATTGGCTAGCACAAGACTTCTTAAATGTTTTTCACTTGCAACTTATTCACCGGAGAAATTTTCACCAGACACCCAGATTGATAGATTTAAAAATTTTATGACTATGGGGGCTGGAGCAATAGCACAGCAGGTAGGGTATTTGCCTTGCACGTGGCTGACCCAGGTTCGATTCCCAGCATCCCATATGGTCCCCTGAGCACCGCCATGGGTAATTCCTGAGTGCAGAGCCAGGAATAAACCCTGTGCATTGCCGGGCGTGACCCCCCAAAATTTTTTTATGACTATAAGTAATTTATTTGCAAACAATTCTTTGGTATATATAAACAATTTTACCACTTATTAACGACAAAAGCAAATTTGCATGCTAAAAAACCCACAACGTTATTTTAAAAACTTTTAGATGGAGATGTTTTGGGCCTACTGAGATATTTGGAGATATTTAGATTTTTTTTCTTTCTTTCTGGTGTGGGATTGTGAGATTCCCAAATGGTGCTCAGTGCATGCTTTGGCAGCAGATACCAAAAGGTGCTCATGGGCCCCCAGGCCAGGCCCTGTGATATTCAGCCAACTGGACCAGTAGTTCAGTGGTAGGGTCTGACAATGCTTTTTGTTCAGCCTCTGCACAGTGCCAGGGAACACCAAGGCCACATCTGGCAGTACCTGGGGCATCTTTAGGGCTGTACGTGGTGATCCTTGGGAGATCATGTGGTATCAGGGATGGGTAAAAGCTAGGCCCTGATCACTATACAACCTCCCAGCCCCTTCACCAAATAATTTTACCCATCCCTTAAGGATCTTGTGTGTAGCAGCGAGCACTGTGGTGTGCTAATGGTGATTATTTTTTGTTTCCTCTGCGTTTCTTAGCAGCCATGTTTTATTTTATTTATTTATTTATTTATTTATTTTGCTTTTTAGGTCATACCTGGCAATGCACAGGGGTTACTCCTGCCTCTTCACTCAGGAATTACTCCTGGCTGTGCTCATATCGGATGCTGGGAATCGAACCTGGGTCACCCATGTGCAAGGCAAACGCTCTACCCACTGTGCTATTGCTCCAGCTCAGCAGCCATGTTTTAAACAGATGTCTGCTGGTACCTCAGTGTATTTGTGGACTGGTATCTTTCAAGTTGACGCCTCAATTTAACCTACACGAAGAAGTCCTTCTCCAGAGGAACCCCTCTCTTCTAGGGTATAGAACCAGAAGTGTAGAATAACATTGCCACATGGAGCTTAGGTTTATGGGTTACACCCATCACAGTTACTCCCATTCCTCTGTTTATCTGTAAACTCTTCTCTGTGCTTTCCTCCCCAGTCAGTTAATCACCTTTTTCCCCTAATCAGATTCTGTTAGCTTGTAAGAACAGATCCTCCATACTGAACTTGTACTGTAAGTTATATCGTTTGCATAGTTTACCTTAAAGCAATGTCCTTTCTGTATGGACACAGGAAGACAGTTAATATTATGCTTTGTAACTTGGGAGTTGATTGACTCTGAATAATATTTACTCCTGGGCATCTGCTTTCTTGACTCAGTTGCCCTTAGTTCCTAGTACCCCAAAAGCAGGGTCCCAACGAGGGACTGAATGGACCCAGGGCAAGCTGTGAGCTACCCTGGCATCGAAATGGGCCAGGCCAAAGCGCCATGATACTCAACTATAAGTTGAGGGCACGATCATAGACAAATGCTGTCATGATCCAAAAGTAAGTAACAATGAGACTAGGACCCTGCTGGGACTAGGAAGACTAACCTAGCCTGAGGACTGTAATATATATATATATATATATATATATATATATATATATAGCGGAATATATAGTGAGATGTCCTCAGGAAGAACAAAACTGTAAGTTTATCTCTTACTGTGGTCATACAGAATGACATTGCTAGAAATATCAGAAGTAGACTTACTACAACTATTTAAGTAGATTACTAGCTGAGGAAAGAATACACCCTTGTTGGGATCCCACCCTTGAGCAGATCTCCTAGTAATCTGGAATAAATCTCTTTAGATGAGATTTCGTCCTTGAGTTAATCTCCTTGAGGAGTGGTCTTACCTCTCTTTGCTGATTTGTTAATGTTCAACCCACCTTTGTGTCACCACCCTACGTGATTGCTATATAAACTAAGACTGTAAGCTCAAAGTCTCTGAGTCTTGGCCGCTGATGGGATTACACGGCGCCAGGGGGCCAGGTGGTGGGTGTGACCCCCGCCTACTGGAATTTGGAGGATCTGGGTGGAAGATGCTCGACTCCAATTCGAGTAGGCTTGGAGGTCTCGGCCCCGGAACCCGTGTGGCTTTGTCCCTCTGCCAGTACCTTCATGTGTGCGGAGAGTGGTCTCAGCATGGTGGTGGCTGGTCCTGGAGGTCTTCGGCTGCCGGAGCCCTGGTCGGGGCGGGGAGGAAAGCTCAACCCGCTCCCCTCCAAGGGGCTCCGGGAAGGAACACCCAGGCGCGGGGGCAGAAGACTGCACTGTTCTTGTCCGGGATCCAGAACCAGCCACCACCATGCTGAGACCACTCTCCGCACACATGAAGGTACTGGCAGAGGGACAAAGCCACGCGGGTTCCGGGGCCGAGACCTCCAAGCCTACTCGAATTGGAGTCGAGCATCTTCCACCCAGATCCTCCAAATTCCAGTAGGCGGGGGTCACACCCACCACCTGGCCCCCTGGCACCGTGTAATCCCATCAGCGGCCAAGACTCAGAGACTATAAAATCCAGATCCCGGAACCGCGCGGCCGCATTTGCGGCTGCGCGACATCTTATCCGAACTTTTTTTTTTTTTATGGCATCTTATTGTCTCATTCCTATTTTGGACAAACTTGCAGGCTATCGAATGTAGCCTGCCCACAGGGCAGAGTCTGGCAAACTCCCCGTGGCGTACCAAATATGCCAAATACCAGTAACAATGATGGGTCTCATTCTCCTAAATAGCCTTGAATATAATCTCACAGCTAGGATGAAAAAGACGTTACTGGGGCCTGCTCGAGGCAATCGACGAATAACAGGATGATGAAATGAAAAATGAAGCTCAAAGGGGGCTTGGGTTTGAGAAAGAGTGAAGTGAGAAGGCTCAGGCTGAGGAGGAGGCTGAGGCTCAGACTCATTCTCAAGCTTAAACTTGGGCTCGGGCTAGGGCTTGGGCTCGAGAGAGCAGAGACTGAGGCTCGGGCAGAGGCTCAAGCTGAGGCTCAAGCTGAGGCATGGGCTTGGGCTCGGGAGCTTGGGCTCCAGAGGGCAGAATCAGAGGTGAGAGTGAAAACTGGAATAAACTACAATTGATACCAACCAGCCTGGCCCTCGTTTGTTCCTTCGCCTGCCCATCTACCTCCCTGGGGTGGGGAAACGGCTTGAGACTACCGATCACAGGCGGCGGGAGAGATAGAGCGCTGCCGGACCTTCCGAAAACACACAGAGATTTATCAGGGTTTTCATATTTTAAGAATTGCACTTAGTGGGCATTTACTTTGCATGCAGTTCACTCAGATTTGATCCCCAGCATCATATGGGAGTGACCTTTAAGCACACAACCAGGAGTAAGCTCTGAGCATAGCCAGGTATGATGCAAAAATCATCATCATCACAATAATAATTACAGAAACTATCAGTGTGAACTTTACAATAAAAGGCCTTACTTGCTACTTTGTTATCTTAATTTGATTTATGAGGATGCTTGTATTTTTTAAGTTGTTCACAATAATTTACTACATTCAATATTCCAACACCACTCCCACCAACATTACACCTTCCCATCAACATTATTTTGAATTTTCCCAACCAGCAACTAAGACTGGCCCAATAGCGACCCTAAATAATTTAGTTTGTTATTGCCTTATATGAATAATTTGCTAAAAATGATCAAAAAAGTTTCCCTTAGAAGAAAGTGTGTGAAGATCGTTGTATCTCACCCTGGAGTCATTAAGTTCTTGTATAAGAGATTACTAACATGTTGTTACAGGTTAAGCCTTTTGTAGTAATTTTTTTTTTCTATTTGGGTCATACCCAGCGATGCACAGGCTTTACTCCTGGCTCATGCACTCAGGAATTACTCCTGGCGGTGCTCGGGAGACTATATGGGATGCTGGGAATCGAACCCGGGTTGGCCGCGTGCACAGAAAATGCCCTGCCTGCTGTGCTATCGCTCCAGCCCCTGTGCTAAAATTTTTCAATCGAGATTGGTTGCCTTCTACTTTACACTCCATCAAATGTGATGTGCTACTCCTGGTATAGCAGTGGTATAAGGTATGAGATGTTGTGGGCTCCAGGAATTCTAAAATTTTAAATAAGGTCATATAGCTGAAGTTAACCTTCTAACCTTCTAACAGAGTCTCCTGCCTGCCCCTGCACCTGGTTGTCCTCGCCGGGGCCCCTCGGAGGGGAGCGGGTTGAGTTTCCTCCCCTCCCCGACCAGAGCTCCAGCAGCCAAAGACCTCCAGAACCAGCCACCACCATGCTGAGACCACTCTCCGCACACATGAAGGTACTGGCAGAGGAACAGAGGCATGTGGGTCCCGGGACTGAGATCTCCAAGCCTACTCGGATTGGGGCTGAGCATCCTCCACCCAGATCCTCCAAATTCCAGTAGGCGGGGGTCACACCCGCCAACTGGCCCCCTGGCACCGTGTAATCCCATCAATGGCCAAGACTCAGAGACTATAAAACCCAGCTCCTGGAAGCACGCAGCCACATTTGTGGCCGCGCGACATCTTATTATGACATCTTATTATCTCCTTCCTACTTTGGACAAACTGGCAGGCTACCGAATGTAACCTGCCCACAAGGCAGAGTCTGGCAAACTCCCCATGGCATACCCAATATGCCAAATACCACTAACAATGATGGGTCTCATTCTCCTAACTCTGAAAGAGCCTTGAATATGGCACTTTTTAAAAAATCTCAGGGCTAGGACGAAGGAGACGTTACTGGGGCCTGCTCGAGGCAATCGACGAATAACAGGATGGTCGT